TGGACTTACAGGCGTCATCTTGGCACGAGCCATCTTTAGAAAACCAATTTAATCCAAGTAAGACCACTTGATCAAAGTCTAAAGAGCAGCTATAATGGATTACATTCCTCAAACCGGACTCACTACTCAACTCCAGGACTAAGAGGTGAAGGAAGTAACGAGTGAATTATTCATGATGCATGAATCGTTCTTACGAACAAAAACATCAAAGTTTATAATGCACATAAACAACATTTATTTTTCTATATAGGGCATAGTAAAATTACTACTCCACCACACAAGACCCTTTTAATCAATTAAGGAATGGTGAGAAAGAAATAAGACAAGTCAGAAGCAATTTGGACCAAATTAATCAAGTTAAATTTAGTCATCCCAAATCATTTTGAAGTTTTCGTAAACCAATACCACAAAAACTTTGTAACGAATGCTCTGATACCATTCTGTGGCAGAACCTCCTAAATTATAGGACCCACATACATTTGTCACTGTCCAAAGACCTTTGACAACAATGCATATGTTCCTGGTAACTTAAGAAGTCTGTCGGGTGTCCTCGGGGAACCCCGAATCATCCACGATTTCCGAGTAGGATCACATTACAGAGTCATTGCAGTATTACAACAGTTTATTCAAATAGACACATCAGAGTAAAAGTAGCGGAAGACTTACAATAACATAGTTTACAAACCATTTGTTTCAAACCATACAACTAAGTTCGATATTAATACAAACCAAAGTAGTGGAGCGGCATTATAATATAATACAAAACACACAATGAGGCTGCCCTGCCCAAGGGTCACACAATTACTTCTCAACGCCATCACAAGGTACAACTGTCATGCAGCACGATCCAAAACAGATCTGCTCATGAGGCTCACCTGCAACAAGGGTCAACGAACCTTGAGTACAAAAGTACTCAACAAGACTTAACCGAAATAAGAACTGATAACTCAAGAATGCAGGCTCAGGGATTCAAGGTTTGGTTTTAGCAATAATCAAAGTTATTTTGCGTAAAAGCTCTTTGACAAAATTCTTTGTTTCAACAGTTTAAACTTCATAAAATCATATACAAAGATGACACGATCTGTAATGAGATCATGAACCTTCATATCCAACACCTTCATCAACCATTCTCAAGTTCCAGTTATTAATTACTACGATGATGAACAGTGAGTTGAGTCTCCATAACCGAGGAGCAACGACGATTCGAACCGATTATAAACCCAGCTGGGGATTCCAGACCACACGACATATGCAGGTCCCTAACCTACATATACCAACCTATTCTCGGATCCTCTAAAACAAGAACGGGTCCGCGCCACCCGAGAATACAGTACTCCACCATCTCTCCACTCCCAGTGCGCGAGTAGCCATTCTCGTAATAGAATTGCCAAGTTCAGGCTTACCGGAGTATGTGGTTAGTACTACAAATTCTCACCTCATGCAATTCAACAACGGACGTGCCTTAATCGACACAGGCGGAAAGATCCCGCTCACAAGACCTCCATGTCTTGTGGCTCACACACACCGAGTCCGCCCGGTCTAGATTTATTACTCCACATTCATTAACCAATGTTCCATTTAAAACTTGCAGGTGGCAGGTAGTCACTGACTTCATCGTTCTACGCATAGCTAAGCAAAACTAGGCATATACGAGTTCAAAACTGGTAATATGGTAAATATAGAAAAACAAGGGTGGTAATGCACCAATTAGGCTCTTACTTAACTCTTAATCACTTAATGCAGTAACGGAAAGCAAAAGCGCGAATTAATTTGTAAAACACACAAGGTAGGGTTGTATGCATCCGGGGCTTGCCTTCGTTGACGGAAAAAGTCCGGCTCTGCGACGTTTCACAAGTCTTCGATCCGACCTCAACAGACAGATCAACCTCCTCCGCAAACTTGATTAACTACCACGTGTTCACCTTCGTTTACTACGTAGTAACATTGCCATGTTTAACATGATGCGGAATATGAAACATGATGCTCGACGATGGATGCAAAATTAATAAATTGGATACAATTTTCCTTCGCAATCTGATTACAAACCAAACTAACCAAACCATATTCGTAACTGATGTGACCACACCAGCACCGATCACTTTGGTAAACTTTTCGACCACTACGGTGAACTATCCGACCACTACGGTGAACTATCCGACCACTACGGTGAACTATGCGGAGCAAAGATCGTCGGTGAGGGAGAACCGACGACTGCAGTGATCAAAATGAGTAAACAACAACTGACTAAAGACTACAGCATCGAAACGAAACCGTAAGTACACTGATTACAGACAACGGCTCACCGAAGGGCTCTGGCCACGATGACACGCCCACAGCAGTGAAGTTGCTGACCTCGAGGAAGAAAAACGTGGACAACGAGTTTTTTTGGCAATTTCAGGCGACCAATGCTAGCTGGCTGGATTTGCAAGGAAAAGACAAAACTAGGACGGCCTTTACCGAGATGGCAACAGCGCTGGGGAGACGATGCGAGCTTGTTGGAGCGATGACAACGGCGGTGGTGAAAACAAAGGAAGAAGAAAAACGACGATGACGACGTCTTGGTACTTATAGCGCGGCGCAGAAGCTCAAGGAAGCCACGACGGAGCCGTTTCCGTGCCAAATAGCGACATCAAGGACGACCACGACGCGCTGGAACGCCAAGAAGGTCCGACGGCAATGTAAGCTTAGGCGGTGAACACATTCTCACGAAATTACAAAATTGCCATACGCCAAAATTCACAAACTACTCTCAAATTTTCATAACAACTCAAAAATCTCCAAAAACAAAAGTTGTTCAAAATCGAAAGTTCTACAACTTTGCTTCTATAACCATCTCCTAATTCGGTCTAGATTTTGAAATGGATTTTCAGGGTAGGATTTAAATGCTGAAAAGCGGGGTTTTCTCGAAAAATTCAAAATCCAAACAAACTTTGAACTAGAGTCAACCAATACAATTCAACACATACCACATGAATATAAACTTGTTTTAGTGTATGCATTTCAAAGTTTTCACCAAATGCCAAATGTTTTGCAATGCATATGATGACATGTCAGGTTTTAGTATTTTAAACACCCGAGGTGTTACACGCTCCGCAGGCATGTTAGACGACACGGCATGGCCCGCTTTTTCCCTCACGCACGACATAGGCTGGCTTTATTATATATATATATATAATCTAGGATCCTAGCTTTCTAACCGTAATCTCACCGGAGGTGCCGCTTGCTCTACTCAACGTAGAGCCGCGTCTCGCGTGAGGTTCCTCCCTACCCGAGGCAGACCCCTCAGACCTTCTTGGGTCTTCTTTGCTCGAGGCATCCTCCTCTCGTCTAAGGCCTCGACGCTCCGACCACGATGACTCTTATGAGCGTCGGCTCCTTCTTTCCCAGACCCTATCGCGACGACCCCTATGAACACCGGCTCCTCTCCTTCCTCCTCGACATCTGCTCCAACTCTCTCTTCCCCTCGTGGACTCTCCTACATGCCTCGGGTGCACCGGCCTCGGCGCATAGCAGCACCTGAAGCAAGCCATGCGGTCGCATGCAGGCGCCATGGCCATGGCCACGACCTCTTTCCCCCTTCCCTCTGTTTGGTGGGCCACGGGCTGGCCCAACATGCTAGTTGTGGCAGGCTACTCGAGTCAGTTCGACCCAAAAATTTCTCCATCCGTTCAAAATTATAAATCGTTTTGATTTTTTCATTAATTTTGCTATGTATCTAGATATATTATTATATCTATGTACATAGTAAAATAGATGTACCAAAAAAGTTAAATCAACTTAGAATTTGGAACAGATCAAGTAATAGGCATGGCGTGCCGATGGCCAGGCCTACGGGCCGTGCTTTTGCCGGCCCGAGCGACATGTTTGGACATCTATATACTTAAAATTGCTTGTTTTTTTTCAAAAAAACGAGACGTGCATCACTTTGAAGTACAGCTGCCTTCGCGGAGGTTTCCTGCTCGGTGGAAAAGGAGATAAGAAACCACTATTGTACCGTGACTTTGAGTAGGCCCCAGATGGTCTTGCACGCCACTGCTGCTGTGGTGCTGACGTGCAGTGATACTGATCGATGGATTCTATGGTTCATTGGTTCCTGCCTGTCCAGTGTTTGTCCTTGTCTCGCCTTCGGAAAATACCAAGTTGCAAGCGACGTACTCCTGCCAGCGGAACTGCGGAAGGGCCCCAAACGACAAGTCCTAGGCAGGACAGACACGTGGGAGACTGACTGAACGGCCTTTTCCTGATGTGTTTGTAGATTTGGTGTTCCTGATGTTGCAACTTGGGATCTTCTGTGAAGTATACATGACCATCACATTCCGACTAAGGCCCCCTTTGATGCAGCTCCGGGCGGCTCCGGCTTCCTCTGATGTGCACGGTTTATATCCTGCGCGGACACTGTTCATCATAGCTGGTTTTCTCTCTCTTCATTTCCTCTCTCACAGAACCGTTCTGAGGGGGAGAAGACGTAGAAAATGGCAAGTATCGGGTAGAAGAAGAATTGTAATAGCAAGTTTCACAATAGGTGAATTATAATGTTAGATCTCTAAAGTTGAAGAATTATAATGGCGTGATCCAAATAACCCAATTTAAAATTGATTGCTTCTTTAGAAAAACGAGACGTGCATCTTTTTCAAGTACAGCTGCCTTCGCGACGGTTTTCAGTCCAACTCGGTGGAAAAGGATTTGCACGCCACTGGTGCAGTGATGCTGATCGATGGATTCTATGGTTCCTGCCTGTCCAGTGTTTTGTCCTCGTCTCGTCTTCGGAAAACACCAAAAGTTGCAAGCGACGTACTCCTGCCAGCGGAACTGCGGAAGGGCCCCAAACGACAAGTCCATAGCAGAACAGACACGTGGGAGACTGACTGAATGTCCTTTTTTTCGTTTTCGTTTTCGTTTTTTTGGTTTTGGAAGTGCAGGCAGACTGACTGTCCATTTCCTCTCCCTATAAAGCTGATGAAACATCTCGCTGGCCGGCCGGCGTCGAAGAGCAAGCAGCAATGGCGCTGGAGATCGAGCACACCCACCTCCCCATCCGCGGCCTCAACCTCCACGTCGCACACGTAGGCAAAGGTGAGTCTCTGGCATCATCATCATCGATGCTTGAGTTGAGCTGATGGATCCCCGCGGAGAAGCAGAGCATCAATCATGTGTGGCGGCTGCGTGCTGTTGCCCCTGTTGGTTTGTGTGTTGCAGGTGACCTGGGCACGGTGGTGTTCCTGCACGGCTTCCCGGAGATATGGTACTCGTGGCGCCACCAGATGGTGGCCGTGGCCGCGGCGGGGTACCGGGCCATCGAGCCAGACTGTCGCGGGTACGGCCTGTCCGACCAGCCGCCGGAGGACGAGGAGGCCTCCCTTGACGACCTCGTCGCCGACGTGCTCGGCATCCTCGACGCCCTCAGCGTCCCAAAGGTAAAGCAACAGCTCACCAAACGGATGGAAGGACCATCCAATTCCAAGAACTGAGTTGTTGCCGCGCGCGCGTACAGGCGTTCTTGGTGGGCAAAGACTTCGGTGCCATGCCGGCGTACGAGTTCGCGCTGCAGCACCCGGACCGCACCCGCGGCGTTGCGTGCCTCGGCATCCCCTTCAGCCCTGTTCCCTTCTCCTTCGACACCATGCCCGAGGGCTTCTACGTCCTGCGCTGGCGCGTGCGTAGCACTGACTGACCGCATCACCTGTGATTGAACTCTTCTTCTTATCGAAATCGACACGACACTCTGCAGCTGGTGTTCCTTTTGCTTCTCTTCCGCAGGAGCCAGGCAGGGCGGAGGCCGACTTCGGCCGGTTCGACGTGAGGCGCGTGGTGCGCACCGTCTACGTGCTCTTCTCCGGCGCCGAGATCCCGATTGCCAAGGAAGGGCAGGAGATCATGGAGTTGGCCGACCTGTCGACGCCCCTCCCGGCGTGGTTCACTGAGGAGGACCTGGACGCCTACGCCAAGCTCTACGAGAAGTCCGGCTTCGGCTACCCGCTCAAGATGCCGTACAGGTTAGCCGCCACCGCACTAGCTCCTCTCGCCCGCAGCCAAACGAACGGCAGAGACTGGAGACTAGAAAGACTCTGATGTTCCTTGCTTTTTTTGCTTCCATGGAAAACTGATTGGGCAGAGCTATACACAAGATCCCGAACCAGCTGGACGCCAAGTTCCAGGTGCCGGTGTTCATGGTGATGGGGGAGAAGGACTACTGCTTCAAGTTCCCGGGGTTCGAGACCGCCATGCGCAGCGGCATCATGAACAACTTCATGCCGGACCTCAAGATCGCCTACATCCCGGAGGGGAGCCACTTCGTGCAGGAGCAGCTCCCGGAGCAGGTCAACGACCTGCTCCTCGGCTTCCTAAGCGACCATCCCTCCGCGGCATAAGGACAGGGTGAGAGACTGTGACCGTGAGAATAATATGATTCTTGAGCAATTGGGGTTTCTCTATTGCCGTTGCCTGGATCCATGACCGTGTTAATTAGCACATACTCAAACAAGATGTACGTTTTTTTCTCGGCAATAAAGATGATCGTTGTTACATTACTCGATCGTTGCTGTAGGTAGAGGTGCTTTGGATGCGATTGAATGGGATCTACAAAATCCAAAATGCTTTGGATGCTTATTTTAGCTGCAGCTGCAGTTATGGCTACAAACAATCAACTACTATCTACTTAGCTATAACTAAAGTTTACTCCCTATCACATCGGACGTTCGGATGCTAATTAGGATTAAATATGAGCTAATTATAAAACTAATTACACAGATGGAGACTAATTTGCGAGACGAATCTATTAAAATTAATTAACCCATCATTAGAACATATTTACTGAAGCACCATGTTGTCAAATCGTAGGCTAATTAGGCTTAATAGATTCATCTAGCAAATTAGTCAGTTTTATAATTAATCTATGTTTTACTTCAAATTAGTATCAAAGTAATCAAACATCCGATATGATAGAGAAAAAAAAAACCCGCAGGCCTGCAGCGAGCAGGCTGACTGTGTCAATTCGGTTTACGTGGACTCGATTACTTTAGAGGCTGACCAGCCTTTAATGGCTAGATTTAAATTTATGACATGGGACCTAATATATATCTAATCTTAGCGAGCAATCGTAATGACGATTTGCACAAAGTTCGATAGCAATCATTGCTCTGTTCGCTTGGCTGATAAGCCATGATTGAAAGTACCGTTAGCTGATTTGTTGTGAGAGAAAAATATTATTCGTTGGTTAAAAAAGTACGGCTTATAAACCAAGCGAACAGGACGCATAATAAGTCATCTCTAACAATTTTAGTTAGTTTCACTAAAATTTTAATGTGTGAACGCGATGTCTCAAATTAGAGCCTGACTTTTGAAGTGGGGTCCACATATATTTATATCTAGTCACCCTGATCTACATAGAGTAGCCAACAACCATGTTAAGTCATTTCTAGAAAAAAAAAACAATTGATTTCACTAGCTTTTTAAGGTGTCAACACAAGATTTTTCATTTTAGGGTCCCATTTTTTTTTTTTTTTGACATGGATCCTACTTATATACTACTACTCACATTAATCTGCACAAAGTAGCGGACGATCGTAGTGAATTACTTACAACAAATAATCAATTTCGCTTAAATTTAATGTGTGAATACGCCGTTTTTGTTATAGAATCAAGCTTTTGACGTGAGGTCCATATCTATATTTAGTCACGTTTGATTGCACAAAAGTAGCAGGTAATCGTGTTGACCCATGTCTCGTAAATTTTTATCGATTTTGCTAAAAATTTAAGGTGAACGTTGAGAAAATGGCATGAACGAGTTGCCTCTCCCTTGGCAGACTCGGCTCCATGTTCATAATGACCAGGAACAGCTCCTGGTGTGGCTTGTACAAAATTCCAATTTATAAGAGATAGACTCTACAATAAACTAACAAATTCTCCTATCTTTGTGTACAAGAGATGGCGGACGCCTAACAGACCTAGGCGGACGCCTAACGACCCATCGAGTCATCCATATCTCCTAACAAACGTGAGCTTTTAAATTCTGAGGTTAGGTAGTTATGATAGTTTTATTATTATTATTGGATTATATTCGATGGATTTCAGGATTTGGACTTAATAGCAATTGAATTATATTAGACATTAATCATTTTGCATCAAGATAGGTTTGGACTTGGAATTTTTCCTAGATTTTAATAGGATTTATCCAATGGATTTTGATACTAATTCAATTGTCACCTCTAGATGTACGTTTGGTGCATCCATTATCTAAAAAACGTTTGGTGCATCCTGTTCATTTGATTTGTTCTGCTCGATGACTTGACGCGAAGGGATCCGCTCCTTGTTCATCTTGGTCACTTGCTTGGCTAATCTGCAAGGAGCTGCGTGTTCAACCACAGTCGAATCCACACGCAGCGCAACGACTCGGACGGCTTGCAACTAGCAAGTTAAAGATTGACGAACAGGTCCGCCTCTGTCAAGAAGTCAGTCCAGATCACTAGGATTGTCGTTCAACTTTTTTTTTCAAAAGAACGGCAAAATTTTTGCCATATTTTAATTTCTTACTAATTATTCATGTAATTTTCCTATGATGTTCAACCCCATACCTTGCTAAGGTACAGCAGCATAAATTTTGAGAGTCTTAGATGGCAAGCTAGGATTTCACCGTCACTACTCTAATCTAACCATATTAGTTTGTAGTTCGTTAGTGCTATATGAGTTCTCAATATCTTCTACAACTAAAAAGAACAAAGCGTGAACATTTTTTGGTGCGACATTTGTTTTGGTTCGTCCGTCTGCCCACACCTGCGTTCCCGCACCCGTCGCTCCCTCGGTCTGCCTTCCTCTGCGATCCCCCCGCTGTCAGCGCCATTATATCCGGGCACCCCCGCCTTCGGTCCTCTCTCCCGGGACAAAGCGCCGGACCCCCGCGCCGCCCCAGCCTCCCTCCGCACCGCACCACCCGTCCAGCGTCCCCCTCTACCGGAGCCCGGGGAGCCTCTCCCTCGTGCGATCCCACGCGCCCGTCACCTCCCTCTTTCACCTGTCCGTGCGGTGGACCCGGCTCTGCGCTCCCTCGCGCGCATGGTCTTCCCCTCCCCCTCTCCCACACGTGCGACTCGCGGACTCCTCTCATCTCCCACACGGATGAACCCCAGGTAGGGCACCAGGCGAGGCCGCCCGCCCAAGACGCCGGGCCGCCGGCCACAGACCCCATCGAGCGGCTTCCTAAAGGCGGCGGCGGCGGCGGCGCTGGGCACGAGGGTCGCGCGGGGAAGCCAGAGGTCGTGGCCGAGGTGGAGGCGCGCTGGGATGGGGTGGCCGTGGCGGAGGCTGGCGGCGAGGTGGTGGCTCAGGGCAATGCCACGGAGGCCAAGGAGGGCAGCCTCGCCGACATGATTGACCGCGCGCTGGAGAAGGAGTTCCCGGAATCCGAGGGCGAGCAGGACGGTGGAGGTGCGTGGATCTGGCCAACTCCCGGGATCCATCGATCCGTTCGGGCGTGGGATCTAGTTCTGGGGCGGGTGTGTGGGTGGGCGCGGTGGCGTGTGTCGGTGGCCGTGCTGTTTAGATCTCGGCATCGGTGGTTGGAGCGTGTGGGGACGTTGAGAATGGAGGTCCCGGTTTGGGCTTGGAGTTGCTTGTGCTAATCTGTGCTCTGGTTTTGCAGAGACGAACCCTGGCAGCTTCAACAACACGGTATCTGAGAAGCAGGTGAGTTCATTGCGCCATTTTGTTTGTGTGCTGCCCCTTTGTAAGGAGGTGTCTTTGATTCTGGGATTCAACATTGGGTCTGCCACAACTAGGTTTTGGGTGATTTGCTCACTAATTGCATGTTGGAATTTGTGAATGAAAGGACATTCGCTTTTGGACTGACCTGTGCCTGATTCCTACACAAGGCATATCATCAATGTCATCATTGACTCACTGATGAAACCCTTTCATTTGCATAGGTGGTTTTCATGAATAAAAACAATTTAGAAGCTAGGACCCTGTCCAAACCTGCAAATGTAACAAAAGATCTAGCTCCAGGTATACCTTTCTCAGTGATCATTCACTTGTGAAGCTTACTTTAGACATAGAGTGTAAAGGTACACTATTAGTCAGACTCGAATAGAGGCACACATTTATTCAAATCTCTGTTGCATATATCTTTATCAAAACAGAATTAGGGCCTCAGATTACAAAACCAATAGGAAGAGAATTAACAAGAAAATTTATAGTTTCTGGTCCTTAATACCTCCATGATAAACTTTAGTTACATAATTGAGTATTTGCCACTGGGTAAAATTGTACCTACATCCTGTGTAAATTTATAGTTTCTGGTTCTGTAGGACTTCACAATAAAACGCATGAAGATACATCAATCTCGGGTCTAAAGGCAGGCTACGACGACACAGCAGTAGCAGTGGTGCAGCAGCAAGAGGTTCAAGGCAGTACAAGGGTCCTAATCTGTCGTCATCGACGACATTTCCACTCCCAGGTAAGCTGAACCATCCATACACTTTTTGTCAACTTTACTTTCCTGCTGCAGTGAAGAAATAGTTGTTGTATAAATTTTGATGCATGTAAATAGCACTCATGTCTGAATACTATTATGTGTAGTTTGTGCTGACCTCAGTAATACATGCCCCTGCTCTTGCTTAATGCAGTTACAAATATTTCAGCACTGGATATTTCTTCATAAAAAATCTAAACTGAACGCATGTTTTGTTAGACCAATAGGGTGTTAGTTAAAGACTAGAGCTTGTGCCTTTTTTTTTCTCTTTGTAGTTTTAGAGATGTTGTCTTCTTCGTGAAGTAAAAATTAGCACCATGCAACAAACAACAGCCCGAAAGAAAACATGATAGTTTCATTTGGCCTACCTATGTATACCAATCATATTGTTGTTCTGCTTTATACTATAGATTTAGTTCAGATTTAGACAAACTGTTAATTTATATTTTTAATTGAAAAAATATTTGATGTGTCCGCAGGTTACACAAACTTGAATTATTTCAATTGAACTTCAGTGTTTGAGTTTCGTTTCTCTTGTGCATATGATGCCTTCAGGATATTCTTGGAACACACTGAACTTCCTGAACGAGAGGACCTTGAAGGGAACCTTCTTCGACAACTACAAACCACAAACTGACCTGCAATGTCGTTGAGCTGTACATGAAAAAGATAAATGCAAAGTGCTATTTCTTCGGGAGGCTTGTTACTTGAGCTTTGCTAAAATTGCTAGGCTCCCAAACATCAGCTTCCTCTTGGTACAACTTTGCTCACTCTAAATTAATTACAAATTAACTTTTGATGATGTGTTATGTCTTACTACATATTATTTTATTTATTGTTATTTTTTTTATTAAATGGAAGCTCAAGATCTTTTGGTACATATTGTCTGTTAAATTTGAGTTTGGCATTTCCAGAACTACAATGGGAGCCAAAGGATATCTAAAGAGAAAGCACAAATGGTTGCATCTCAGGTACTTCCTTGTTTCTAAATTCTAATTGCTCACATATTGAGATATACATCCAATGAGTTTTCTGATCTGGTTAAAATCCTTATCCTATTCCTCATATAGGTGAATGGGCCTATACTGGTGGAGTATAATTGCCTATGTTTTAATGCACTCAAAGTCCTACTAGGTGATTTATTTATGTTGTTCTTCAAAGTCTTCTCATTTGCTATGTTCTACAAATACTCGCAACATTTAAGCTTTTTAGGTGCTGCATATCATATTGTTGTTAGAGAGATTTAAACTTTTCTGTTTGGAGCTCCCTTACAGATTAGAGAAATTTGTCTTAAAGGGGATCGTGTTCATCCCAGTGAAAGGTGAGGGTACGATTCTCAATTTGGTTTCATCATGTGAAATTATGAATTACAAAAGGGTTTGTACAATCGATTCCTTTGCGGTATCTGCAATTGGATTCCCGCTTAAATTTCAATTTGGTAGTGTAGCTAGGTAATTTGCGAACAGCTCAGAGTAGCATAATCATGTCACTGTGTTCTCGGTAGTCCAATTTAGTTTGATCGCAATTGTGACTTTACAATGAAATGGCTAATCTTAGGTTACACAAAAATTGTAGTCCTTAAATATACCAATGCTATTTTTTTTTAGATCAGGAGGCCCTATTTAAAATTTGGAACAGTGCTGCCTTATTATTAATATATAAGCAATTTAATTAAAGCACACCAACGAAGGCACTTGTCCATTTGACAACAGCTCATGTTCTACATTTCATTACACGAGCAAACACTCTTCAGATCTCACAGCAGCTGCTCCCGGAACACCCTCAGCACGTCCGCGAACGTGACGATGCCAGCAAGGCGGCAGTCGTTGTCCTCGTCGAGGACCCACACGTAGCTCACCCGGTGCGCGAGGGCCTGCACCATGACGGCCACCAGTGAGCTCGCGGGGCTGCACACCACCGGCTCCTCAGCTGACCGCCGGCCGTAGCTCCCCGACGACGGGCGCCTCAGCTGCGCCCGGCCTGCCTCCTCGTCGGAGGACGAGGACGCGGAGGAGAGGGACGAGAACGACGACAGCGTCTCGTCCTCAATCAGCGCGAGCATGGCATCGAGGCCCTTGTCCTTCAGCCCGGCCTTGACGGCGCGCAAGATGTGCTCCGGCGGCGACCCGAAGTAGTCGACGTAGGCCATGAGGTCCGCCGCCGAGAGCGTGGCGATGGCTGCGGCCGCCGTCTCGTCGCAGGCCGCGAGGAGGGCGGGAGAGATCTCGCCGACGAGGTGGCCGTCCTCGGTGACCACGGCGACGGCCGTCTCCGTGGCGACGGCGCGGCGGATGAGGGGCACCGCGGACAGGGCCGCCTCTCCGGGGCGCACCGAGAGGAAGTCGGTGCGCACGAGCCCCAGGGAGGACACGGAGCGCGCGGCCACATGGTAGAAGAGGCCGATGGAGTTGAGGAAGTAGCGCACGAGGTCCTCCTGCGTGAGCCAGCAGAAGTCGCCGGCGCCGGAGGCGCCGCCGCCGCCGCCAACGAGCTGCTTCCTGCGCCCGCCAGCGCGGAGTGGGACGGCGAGCACCTGCGCCCCGCTCAGAATCGCATCAAGCGCCTCCAAGATACTGCAGAAAGAAACCTCACACTGGTCAGCTCAAAACGAACCGAATCTATGCCGTGAATCCCGTGATTAAATAGGCAACAAGCAAGACACGGAGACAGGATCCCAAAAGAATCACCACTATTTTCAAGAAAAGATTCGATTAAGACGCACAAATTTTCCAACCACATGCCAAGATCCTCCTTTCATTGCAAGACTCGATCAAGCGGCGCCGTTTTCCAGCCACAAGCAGACCCCCCCCCAAAAAAAAAAGCAGCTGATCCTGATCCTATCAAGGATCTCGCAAGGAGACAGGGGTGCATGTCACAATCTCTGGAAACCCACACGGGCCACACCGAGCCGCACCACAAGATTGTCTCCGCTGAGTCGGACGATCTGGCCCGAATGCGGCTTTTTCTTCACCACCACGAGTACTGACAGTCAATTGTTCGAATCGGGTCGCATATTCCAAGCAGGAAAGCAGACATCAAACTCTCCAAGTAACTATGATGAGGATGAACGCTCTTCTGTCTTGGACTTGGACCCAAAATAAAAGATGACACTAGCTGGCACATCAATTTATTTTTTCGCAGCTTTTATGGGGATTTTTTACCAAAAATCGTGTTTCCTAGTGAGAGCCTTAGCAAACGTCCAATCTTGAACGAGTCCCACGCGTCGTTTGCAAAAAGCCGAAAACCCAAAAGAGAGGAAGACGGAAAGGGGTTGAGCCTTACCTCGAGCGGGGATCGACGCGGCGGACCTCTCCGGCGCCGTCCTTAGGCAGGAGCGCGGAGACCGGCTTGGAGAACACGGCGGCGGGGCGCGCGAGCGCCTCGGGGTCGGTGCAGAGGAAGCAGAGCACGTCCGCGAGGCCGACCCGGCCGACGACGGCGCGCGCTGGTCCGGTCACCGCGACGCAGGCTGCGGCGCCAGAGCGGGCCACCCTCCGGAGCGCGGCGGCAAGGTCGCCGGCGGCGGCGGAGAGCGGGAGCGACCTCACGGCCGGCTTGCCGATGCACAGGTCCGACACCTCATTGGCCAGGAAGCTCACTGCCATGCACTTGCGGGGCGGGCCCTGGGCGGTTTCGAGATCGAAACCCCTTTCAAAGATTTCAAGGAGGAGGAAGAGCGGCGAGGAACAGGGAGGCGTTTCTTGGTGGGATTTGGGAGGAAGACGAGAAGGGGGAGGAGGGGGATTTTCAGCCGCGGCTCGTTGGGAGGAGGGCGTTTATATAGGCTTTGCCGCTTTGCGGGTGGGAGAGGGGGTTGCGACGCGTTGTGGGTTAGGGTATCTCAATGACATGTGGGTCTCCTGATTCGTGGGCCTGGGAGAGGCGAGAGCTGGGTTGTTTTGGGGTGAGCTGGAGAAAACCCCCGCCGCGGTTTTACTCGGTGGTGGCGTCGAACGGCGTACAGTTTTGAAGCCGGCTAAGCTGAGCTGACAGCTGAGTCGAGCCGAGCTGAGCTGGCTTCGGCTGATTGCGAGTGCTGACTGTGGAAAGGGATCTGCTGTTTCTGCAGGTTTGCCAGTGGAGCAAACTGCAAAACGTTTCCTTCTCTGCTCCAGAGTAAAGACAGTACAGCAGGAGTGCTGAAAAAAAGGCTCCATACAATTTGTTTAATGTTTCTTATTACATTTTAAAAAAAATAAAGTTTCTATAATAACCTACTCCTCGTGTCCAGGTTTAAAGCTAGAATTACGTTTTTTTTTTCTAGATGTAGGTACAACACAATTCAAGTGATGTTTCTTCGGTAAAAAACATGGAACTCATACGCAAAAATTCATTTTAAAGTATACAACGTATATTAATTTTTTCAGATTGTTTTATTAGACTCGAGTTTATCTACCTAGCTAACTTTCAAAAGATAAGTTGAACAGATGCAGCGATACTGTGCTTAGTTTGCATATTAAACAACAGTAATGCTTGGAGCAGGGCGTCCGTCCGTCCGAAAGCGTTCGTTCGTGGGCCACAACGCTAGCCCAAATGAACCCCCAAGCAACCACGGATCTTATGCCAGTCCAACACAACAAAGGAGGCAACGGGTAAGGCACCACCAACCCAGCAGACTGGCCAAAGCACTATCGGCCTATCCCCTCCCACCCACCCTCTCATCTCAGGCATGATGACGACGTCCAGAGCCCCTGCGACCTGCCGCTGGTGCCGACCTCGATCCGCACGGCGTGCTGCGTGCACTCTGCCGCCAACGACGAGCGTGTCCACAGGGAGTTCCTCGAGGCCTCCCTCCGCGCGTGCCTGACATCTCCTTGCCCCCGCAGAAGCGCTTCAACTTCTCGCCGGCGCTGGCACCGCAATCAGACGGGATCTCTTCGCACGCCCTCGTTTCGAGCGACGTGGATGCAGTGCTGCGGGCGGTTATCGCAGCCATGAAGTCCGGCGCATTTCACGTGACTAGCGCAATCGATGCAAGGTTTCTCTTCTCTACACCAGTGAACTCCACACGCCGATGAACCTACATTCTCCCAAGCAGTAAAGAGATGTTGTGCTGAAATCGCATGCTGCAAGCGTATCTTTCAAATGTTTCACAAGTATGTTGCAAGTGTTTCGTATAGATGTTGTAAAAGTAGATCGGGATGTTGCATATGTTGCAATGGTTGTACATGTATGTTGCAAACGTCTTGTTGGTGCAGAAAGTGACCAACTAGTGAATATTTGTAGTTTTGCTGTACGTTGTGATCGGAGGTGGCCTAGCACTCAATGACACAGGGTTTATACTGGTTTAGGCAACGTGCCCTACGTCCAGTTTGGAACGGTTAGTGACTTTATTCCTGAGCCCAGGTGCTCGAAGTCTGCAGTGGGGTTACAAACGAGAAGGAGAAAGATGGGGTGTACGAGAGGTCCGGTCGGCTCCGGTCGGAAGGGCCGAGAGCGACAGGAGCTACGCTACGAGCTAAGTGTTCAAGCGTGTGCTTGAGGTCCGAACCCAGCGGTTCTGTGGTTGTGAGCTAGCGAACTTGGTCGATCTAATGAATCTAGAAAATGCACTTCTTCGTTGGAGGGAGCACATCCCATCTTATAGATAAAATGGATGGCTTTACAAGTGAGAGGGTGAGGGTACGTATGCTACTGGGCTCTGTTGCTCATG